GCGGCGCACTGTAGCAGTGCGCCACCGGGCCGGCCCCTATTTTTGCTTTTGTTGCCTGTGCTCTTGGGTCATGTCCAAGAAATCTTTGCCAAGACCAATGTCAAGAAGACTTTCCCCCTTTTCTTCTAATAGTTTTAAAGTTTTAGTTCTTACATTTAAGTCTTTAATCCATTTTGAGTTGATTTTTGCATGTAGATATCCTGTTTTCCTAGCACCATTTATTTTATCACCTTGGCACCTTTGTCAAAGATCAGACTGTAAATGTGTAGATTTGTACCTGGGCTCTCTATTCTGTTCCATGTTCTCTGTGTCTGTTTTTGTGACAGTGTGATGCAGTTTTGATTACTTAGTTCTGTAGTAGATTTTGAGATCAGGTAGTACGATGCCTCCAACTTTTTTCTTTTTGTTCATGATTGCTTTGGCTCTTTGGGGTCTTTTGTGGTTCCATATGAATTTTAGGATTTTTTTTTTTTTTTCTGTAAAAAATGTCATAAGAATTTTGTTAGGGATTTCAATGAATCTGTAGATCTCTTTGGATAGTATGTGCCTTTTAACAATATCGGTTCTTCCAATCCATGAACACAGGATATCTTTCCATTTATTTGTGTCTTCAATTTCTTTCATCAACGTTTTACAGTTTCCAGTATACTGATCTTTCACATCCTTGGTTAAATGTATTCCTAAGTATTTTTTATGCTATTGTGAATGGGTTTTCTCTTGATTTATTTTTCTTTTTCTGATTTTTATTAGTGTATGGAAATGCTACTGATGTTTGTATGTTGATTTTGTAACTTGGAACTTTACTAAATGTGTTTATTAGTTCTAACAGAACAGATTTTGTCATCTACAAACAGAGACAGTTTAATTTCTGACTTTTCAATTTGGATGACCTGTATTTCTTTTTCTTGCTTAATTACTTTCTAATTTAGCTTTTAGCTTTCTGTCAGCCTAACAAACAGAGAAATAGTGCCAGTCACAGGAGCCCAGACATCAAAAGCAAATCAGTTGCCTAGGAGAAGTACCTCTTTTCATAGTAGCAAAGTGAAATTTCTCCTGTCATCCTATAAGGAAGACATGGAGAAGGTGGTTAATAATATCTTCAGTAATGTCTTAAGGAAAACTTTCAGATTGTCATATACAGATTTCAATTTTTTGTCAGGCAGGAAAGACAACAACAATATCCTATGATTTTACTACTCAGGGGTACTTTATGGCATGTTAAAAATTAGCCCAATATTGGATGTTATAATAACTAGAATTAGAAGAAGAACCTGTGATATTTCATAGTTAGGCTGCAGTTGCAATCTCATTTTTCAACAGGGTATTTTAAGGATTTTATCTGAATACCTTACTCAGAGCTACAGATTAAAAAAAGATAGGATAACTAAGTATTAATTACATCATACCTACTGTTGTTTTTTTACTCTTAATAGATTCTCAGTCTTATTCCTTCTTGTTCATTTTTCATTGTTGATTACAGCTGGAATTGACACTGGTTATTGCTACTTGGGTGATAAAAATAGCTTCTGTTTGCCAAAGATAAAGTTATAGATATTATACTTTTAATGGTCTTAATTTATTGTGTTACTTAAGAGTTACCCTTTTGCATTTCCAGAAAAGGAACTGCTATAGTGGATCTCTCTGGGAATGGTGACCCCTCCTCAATTTGTACTGTAATGCGAAGTGATGGGACTTCTCTCTATGCAACCAGGTTTGTAGCTTCTGCGAGGGTAAACATTGGACTGTGTATATAACTTCATGTTCTTTTTCCTAGGATTAATACTAAGATAATCCATTTTATCCTCAAAACTGTTACCAAAACCTAGTTACAAGTTCTAAATCTGTTGCTTTCATATTCAAAAAATATTTATTGGGTTTCTATTTATTGCCCATTTCAGTTCTGGAGCTTTAATATCATCAGAAAAGTGACTGAAAAACTGTTTACAGTTAGTTAAACATCACAGAATTTTTACAGCTAAATACATCATTCTATAAACTAAAACTGAGGAACTTTATAATCAACTGTAAGTATTTTACAATTGCACGTTGGCAGGAAATGTATACTAGAAAGTGACTATATTGGCTCAGTGGTGTCCTCATGCCATAAAGACTATCTTACACGCATGTAAATACCAGACCTCATTATGATCGTGTTAACATAGGCTGAGGTAGAAGTATGCCATGTCACTTATATTTTTTTCATCTATCTCCATGACTGACCCCTGTGGGAAAGAGTAGTCTCTGTTCATCAGTAAGAGCTGAGTTTATCAAGCATACTTAGTTATGGGACAAAGTTAATAGGAAGGAGAAGGTAGGACAATAGAAAGACCACACAAGAAACACAACCATACTCAAGCTGACAAAAGGCTGTAGTGTCCCAGGCCAGAATTTTTTATTAGGTCACAAACCACTTTTGTAACTAGTCAAAGTAATGATATTTTATTATTTTTATTAACTACCATCATTTGTTCCAAACAACCTTAAACAACCAATCAAGTCTCTTACTGCCCTGTAGAAAATTCAACTTTTATTTTCTATTTTTTTTTTTTTTTTTATCAATTTAGGTTAGGAAGTGCAATTGAGGTTAGGAAGTGAGAACCTATATATCTAAGATGTACATTCTTTTTCTAGATACAAAAAAATATATAATAGAAAAAAAAAATTTATGCCAGTTTATTATTGCTAGACAGTTTAAATACAGAAACTCTTGAGTAGTGGTTATAAGAAACATCTGTTCAAAATAGAGGTATCATAAAGACTGGTATCTTTACTGGGCTGTCATTGGATCTAGATTTTTCTATATATTTACCATAACACCTGTACTTTTCCTTTTTTCTTTGGAAAAATAATTGTCTTTTTGCCACTGTTGAAATATTTGATTTTTCACCTTGCTATGACATTAGTAGTTTCTGCCCTTATAGTGGGTTCTTTATAGAATACATCTATGTGTGTGGATGTGAGTTAAAGGAGTTGTTATAGCAGACAGAGAAAAGTGCAGGAGATACTGAAAAGAACACATAGGGTAAGGCTGGAGACCTGGGTTTTTGCTCTGACAGCATGACCCTCACTTAACTCTCTGGGCCATGGTTCCTTTGTATAATGAGAGACCTGGACTAAATGATCTGGCATTTCTTCCAGCTTTCAAATTCAGGATCTACAAATTCAGCCTGAACTTTTTCTTATATTCTTCTTTTTTGTTCTTTCATTGAGTCAAAAGGCTTCTCTTTGTTTTGTCTTTGGCTCAGACTGAAAAATATAACATGGGTGTATATCCGTGACATCATTTTTGTGGTAATCTTCTAAACCAATGTTTCTGAACCCTTTTTTATTATAACCCCTCTCAGGAGCCTTTTTAGCCATATTTTTCCTAATTGCCAACCCTCATAAAAATTTAATACCACAAATATACTGTATATCTTTATGTATTATATGCATATCTGTGCTTTATATAGTGAGATTTTATTGCCCCTCAAAAGTCAGGTTTTTCCTCCATTGAGAATGCATGTTCTAAGCAATGTCAGGATCATGAGGTAAGTACTGACATTTTCATTATCTCCAACATTTCAAAAGATTTGGGAATTTTTTCATTCCTCCCAGTACCATGTGCAGTATTGTTAACCAAAAATAGCTTTAATTTTAAACTTCAATATTTTCATAATCCTTGACTTTAAAATGTTATAGTTTATGTATTTTTCATTATTTCCTACCACATGTAAACTTGGCATTTTGTATTTAATCAAAGATAAAAGAAATAAGTGGAATCTTTATCAAAGGATTTTATGGTCTTTTGAAGTGCTTTAGAAGGTACTGCTTCTGACTGACCCACGACTTTGAAAGTCCTTGATAGTACTAATAGAAGAGTAGCTGGAAGATAACTGTTTAGCTACTACATCACCTATTTTTAAATGTGTCCTTTAAGAAAATGTATTGCAGAGAAGTGACAATTAGGTGAGTCTTTTCAGTAGCCACTTAATTAACTAATCATAAATCATTTACCTATAAGACACTTTGCCTGAAGCTATTTTAGTTATTATTACTACTTGTCCTAGAGTTTTTGCTTATTTTTGTTTTTTTATTACTTTCCCCAGAGCTTTTATTATTATTGTTTTTTTCAAACCTATTTTTGTTTTGTATCAGAGTATGGTATTGGGATTATACAAGCGTGGGTGGTATATCCCAGGCTGTAGGATAATATAGGATTTCTTAATTAGAAAAGCCTCATTGCTATTAAATAGGTAAAACAAATTATTACCCAGATCTGCTTGGTAACTCTTCATTTATGGCCATTTTTTTCAGAGATCTCGCAGCTGCTATAGATCGAATGGACAAGTATAATTTTGATACAATGATTTATGTGGTAAGTAATCACAAGAAAGAACAAGAGTTTATGATCCCTACCTCATGAAAATTGCAGAGAAAAAAATTGGATACCATGCTGATAAGCTATGATAAAATTGTTTTGTCAGACTACAGAGAGAATTCAACATTAAGTGTATTGAAGGTGGCAACCTCTATTTAAAACACAAAAATAACCTGAAAATGAAAAAGTACACATTGCTTCATAGTAAAAGAAAATTACTCCAATCAGGAAAACGATTATGTGAAATTAATATGTACGGGTCACTGTAATGCAGTTGTTTTTAAATAACTTCTTATTTTGAAAGAATTTAAGACTCACAACAAGTTTCAAAATAGTATAGTGTTTTTGTGTACCCTTCACCCAGCTTTTCCCAAAGATAATATCACCTCTTGATATCTGCAGGGAAATGGTTCCCGGATCCCTTCAGATAACAAAATCTGCTGATGCTCAAGTCCCTTATATAAAATGGCACAGTGTTTGCATATAATCTACATACATCCTCCCATGTACTTTAAGTCATCTCTAGATTATTTATAATACCTAATACAATATAAATGCTATGTAAGTAGTTATACTGTAATGTTTTTTTAATTTGTATTATTTTTTAATTGTCCTATTTTTTTTCCTGAATATTTTTGATCCACAGTTGGTTGAATCTGTGGATGCAGAACCTGGGCATTTGGGGGACCAATGGTATCTTACATAACCGTAGTACTTTGCCAATGTCAAGAAGTTGACATTGATAAAGACCATATTCAAATTTCATGTTTTACACGCACTCTTGTATGGGTGTGGATATTTGTGTGGGTATGATTTTATGAAATTTTATTACATGTATAAAGTTGTGTAACTATCACCATGTTCAGAACACAGAACTGTTCCATCATGAAACAAACTCTCTGTGGTCAACCACTTAATAATCACACCTTCCCCCGCAGCCCTAACTTTGGCAACCACTGCTCTGTTCTCCATCACAATAATTTTGTCACTTTGAGAATGTTTTATAAATGGAATCATACAGTATATAACCTTTTAAGATTTTTTCACTCAGCGTAGTGAATGCCTTTAGGATCCATCCGAGCTATCGTGTGTCAGTAGTTTGTTCTTTTTGTTGCTGAGTAGTAGTATAGTCTCTTCTTCCCTTTCCTTCCTTTTCATGTGCAACCTCCCTTTCTAATAAGAAAGAAAGTTGCCATCAAACAACTTTTTAGAGCTTAGCTTTGGTCTTTGTGGGGATAAAGGTCATAATAGCTTGAGAGGGAATGAAAAATAGACTATTCAGAAGACTAAAATTCATATTTCTTTCTATTTGGTGGAGTGCTGCAGCTCTTTTTTTCCTCTTTTTTAGAGCACTCAGCTTAGACACTCTTCTAGTAGCATCTTTGTGTTTTTATTTAAAACATATTGATTATGACATTAGTCTGTCAAAACTCAAATATGTTAATTCATGTCCAACCTATTTTTTTAAATTTTTATTATTAGCATATTCATTTTTACAAATCGTGATATTTCTTTATGCCCTTTGCCCGACCTATCACTTCCTAAACCCTCCCTCCCCGCCATCTCTAGTATCCTTAGGTTTGTTTTCTCCTGAAAGTTCAACATATTGTTGTGGTCTTTTCTTTCTTTCCTTCATTCCTTCCTTCTTCCCTCTTTCTCTACCCCCCTCCCTCCCTCCCTGTCTAATCTATTTTTGGGGATTAATTTATCACTGTTCTTCTATTTTAAGTATGTTTTCTTCCCAAGACAGATAAAGGGCAAAAAAAGCATTTTCATCAAGTTTTCCAAATGCTGAAGATCATGGGATATGAATGGGCAGAAAGGTAATGCTTCCATGGTTCTTAATTGTCTGCTCAGGGTCATTAAAGCTTTGTTAGGTCAGCCAAGTTGTAAAATCTACCTAATGGTTAAAGATTTTCATTCAGACTTCAAGTCTTTGTTTCAAGATGTCAGTGTTGAAAAGCAGATAGTGTGCTACTACTGGTTATCTCTATAAAATGAAGCTGTGTGCTTAACATCTTTTTGGCATAGAACAAATCACATCATATTTCATTTTACTAATTTTTTAAATCTCTGCTAAGAGGGTAAAAGTTCTTTTTTCTTTTTTTTAAGATGACTGGTAAGGGGATCTTAACCCTTGAGTTGGTGGTGTCAGCACCATGCTCTCCCAAGTGAGCCATGGGCTGTCCCTTAAAGTTCAAACTACACTGTAAAAGGCTATAATCATATACTTTGATCACCAGCTCTTTTTTAGCTTTCAGTTAACTAAATGCCTACTCTATTTCAGGTGTCAGCATGTGCCCTTTGGAGTAGTGCAGGGAATGAAGACTCGAAGAGGAGATGTTATTTTTCTAGAAGATGTCTTAAATGAGATTCAGTTAAGAATGCTACAAAACATGGCTTCCATTAAGAGTAAATTCACTTTTTTGTTGTTAAAGTCGTAACTTATGTGCCACATTTATGTTTTTCTGGACTTCTGGGCAGTGTGACTTATGACTGTCCCTCCATTGAACTTTCAATAACCTTGTCAAAATAGCACTAATTTGAGGTGCCAGTATTTTTAGATTTGCTGCTCAGGAGTTGTGCATTGCATTAATATGAATTGATATAATCTTCGTCCTCTATTCCCAAAGGACAGCTTTAGTGTCATCATTCCATTGTGCAAGTGGTTGTGTTACAGATTGGATGTAAGTTTCTGTGTTATAAATTGGATATAAGTCACAAATCCTTATGACTTTGTTTAGCCTTTACCTTTGGAAAAATTAGTATAAACTATATCTAATGTCTTTTGAGAGAGATTTGTAAGAAAAATAAATTCTTATTTCTTTCCCTTTAATGTAGGCAGGGGAAATGTCATTATCAAAGGTAAATTAGCCTAAATTAGGAAAGTAAATTGCCCAGTGCGAACTTGTTTGTTCTTAATTGTCATTATATATTTTTAGCAGATTTTTAACTCCACTTTGATCTATGATTCTGGCACAGTGTCATGGAAGTTAAAGATAGCTGCTTTTGTCTTTTCAGCAACTAAAGAACTCGAGAATCCAAAGGAGACTGCAGAGAGGGTCGGGCTGGCAGCACTTGTTATTCAGGTGTGTTAGGACTCCTTCCCATGAGACCCTTTTGTTTGGTACCAGAGCAAATCCTATAACTAATGATTTACTCTTTTCAGGACTTCAAAGGTTTACTCTTATCTGACTATCAGTTCAGCTGGGATCGTGTTTTCCAGAGTCGCGGGGACACAGGAGTCTTCCTACAGTACACACACGCCCGCCTCCATAGGTGAGAAGAGGCTACAGGGAAACATGCCACTCTGTCCTTCCCCAGACTGGGACTTGGCTTTTGTGATTCCAAGACCAAGGGCTCTGTTTTTTGGTATTTTCCAACATTTCCTATTCAAAACTGGTTAAAGTACAGTGGACTTCCAATTGTTTGTATTGAGTTCCCGTGTAAGAACTGCTTTTATGTATATTACTTTATTTAGTTCTCAGAATAACCACGCCAAAGAATATACTGTTACCTCCACTGTACAGACAAAGAAAGAGATTTAGGGGAAATTGAGGTATCAAGTCAAGCAATGTTGGTATCAAAGTCTAGGACTATTAAAAGAAACCAAGACTGTGTATTATGAGGTAATTTTCATCATTTGGAGCTATGTGTCCTTGGATGACTTGTTTAATCCTTTGATGTTTTTAACTTTAAACTTTTGTGAACAGTTTGGAAGAGACTTTCGGATGTGGTTATCTGAATGACTTCAACACTGCTTGTTTACAAGAGCCACAGTCTGTTTCAATTCTCCAGCATCTTCTCAGGTATGAAGGTTTTCTGGTATTATCAGGTCTGCTTTTGTTTAGTGAAATGACTGTTGGCACCACTGGAAGGTGACTGCCTTTTGAGTGCAGATGGAGGGAATGGATTAAGCCAGTGTTCAAGGTCGATCTTTAGGTCTTAAAAATATCGTCACCACTTAATTAGTACAGATGCCTAGCACACCTCTAGCCCATGGTCTGGGAATGTAAAGCCTGATAAAAGCATAACCTTTTAGTTTTGGGAAAGAGCATCTTCTCATCCTCTTTGATAAGCGATGGAAAATCCCTGCCTTTGTGCAGCTTCCTAGAGACTATAAGTCTTCATTCTTCTCTTGGTTTCAGTTCAGAGTCTCAAATACATATATCTATCTGATGCCCCACACTGTACAAGGGACCACACCTGTTAGCTGCCCTGAGCACTGTTGGTGAAGCTAGAGTTATCAGTAGAGATTAGTCTCTAGAAGGGATATGGGTGGTATGAACAAGGAAGTTTCTCTGATTGCCACACAGTGGTCAGTAGTCCTTTCCTGGGATCGGAAAAGTTTACTCACACGTAGCTAATTTGTGAGAAAAAATAAGCCAAGTTGATTTTCTAAGCATTGAGGGTAGACTCTGCCTACTAGTTTATAGATTCTGTTACTGAATACAGATGAAAGCTTTTTACATTCAGTTTAGGAGCCCTGATTTAAGTCTTGCCCAGACTAGGCCTCAAGGATATCAAGATGATTTAGAAAGTCCTTGCCATCAAGGAATTTATAAGAAAGAAAAGTATGCCTTTGCCTTCTAAGGTACACAGGTCTCTGTTCATATCCCTTCTCTTAATGATGTCAAGTCAGTCTTACATCCAAGATCTTTTAACATCTTAATGTCTTAGCTTAGTGTGACATGTGCACAGTCTTCCCCTGCCAGCTGCTCCTGTCATCTTTCTTTCAGGTTTGACGAGGTGCTTTATAGATCATCTCAGGACCTTCAACCCAGGCACATTGTCAGTTACCTTCTAACTCTAAGGTACTTTATAATCTTCCTATTTTCGGGTGTTAATGACATTTGAGGTCTTCTGATCTGACAAAGGACCTTTCTTTTATCTGAAGTTTTCCTATAAACAATTCCCTTGGCCTAAAAATTGATATGCTTTAAGTTACAGGAATTCTTGCTCCATCTTTGCAAATTAGCAGTTACTGTTCATTCATTCATTCAGTGACATAAGGTATAGTCAGTATAGTCTAGTAACTAGGAACCAACTACATATATTGTTTATATCAAAGTGCATATGTGTTATGATAGAGTGAACATAAGAGACAATGTTAGGGCACCCAGCCCAGCCTTGAGGGATCAGAGAAGGTACCTCAGAGGAAAGGAATAGATATTAATCAGGAGAAGCAAGGTGGCTGGGAAGGAGGAGAAGCACAGAGTTGAGCAAGAACATGATACGTTAAAGGTACTACAAGCATAGTCCCGGGAGAAATGAGAAATGAAGCATGTGCAGCCTTTTCTGCATGTACAAAGGCATTTAGACTTCTAGTGGGGTCCGTAAAAGGGTTTTAAACAGAGGCACAGAAAAATCAGTCAGCTAGAAGGTAGACATGGGAGGCAAATCAGTAACACTTTGATAGAAATTTCATGGTAGCTATTTTAAAACTTTAAGTAAGTTGAGTCTGCTCTTATAAAGCAACAGCTGTATCTTCCCATAAAGCTATTTAAGAAAGGAAAATTTGCTTTTACTCAAGATTTACTGAAATCAAAGACTTATTGAGATTGTTTTCTTAATTATACTTTTTTTTACCTTGTCTTCCCCAGATTTAAATAAGGTTTTTTATTTTTTCCTTTAAGTTCCACTTAGACATTTAGAGGTAAAGAAGCCAGAAAGTATTAAGAAATATCCTTCAGTCATAATAAAGAATGTCCTAAGCATCATTTCTCTGGCATATTGTTCTACTTGCTGTCATACCTAAAAAGAAAAGATGCTTTAAAGAAGAGTGGCCAGTGTGCATGTGGAGTGGACTGATAACTAGTCTCTACCCCACCTCCTCACTGTACAGAGGGGAAAGGCCATGCCATGTTATACTTTTAATTTTAAAGGCTGCCTAAATGAGGAAAGACTAATTAGTGGAAAGGAATCCCCTATTATTTGTAAAATTAACAATGAAATCGTAATCTGAAGAACTTGCCACCTGGTAGTAGTAGAACCAGGACCAAAATCTGAAGCTTGAGTTTGTTGTGTTTTACATTGTTCATTGTAGAAAAGCAATGAATTCCAGTCTCAACTTTGCAATTTTAGATATATCTTTTAATGGTTCTAGTCTTTGGTTTGTTTATTTTTAAGTTGAGGGAGTAAAATTAGATATCAAGGTCATATGTTATAACAGGAAATTGGTCCTCCACATGATTTCTCTCTTCCAATTTCAGTCATCTTGCAGCTGTGGCACACAAAACGCTGCAAATAAAAGATAGTCCTCCTGAAGTGGCTGGGGTATGTTATGTTGAATGTTTTCTGTATGATTCCTAGCATCCTCAGACTAATATTACTAAGTCAGTCTTGTACAGTCTTGTAAAATTTTCTAAAATAGCACTCTGTTCAGCTATAGCAATGAACTTACTGAGTCAGGTGATATTACAATTGGGCTATAACAATCAATGTTTATGTACTTCTCAACATAGTAGACTATGGAACACATTTTCCTACATCGTGTTGTAGTGATAAGTTCCCCTATCTGAAGCCTTACCATATGATGATACTGTCACTTCTACTCCACGACTCCTTGTGTACCAGTCTTACTGTAAGAGACACTAGGAATTTATCTTCACTTGCTTATAGTAAACTCTAGGGCACTTTTGAGATATTGTTCCTATTTTAAATTAGAAGAAAGTTAGAATTACTTTTAAAACCATTCTCACTTATTTGCTTACAGATAGTCTATTATTGAAATTTAATCATTGTTTGATTTATCTTATAGGCCAGACTTCATCTTTTCAAAGCTGTCCGTTCTGTCCTAGCCAATGGAATGAAACTTCTTGGAATAACACCTGTATGTAGAATGTAATTTCTAATTAAAATGGCTTTTTAAATGCTAAATGAATTCTAGTTATCTATGCTTAGATGCTTTGCTATTCAGAATAATAGGATTTAAACTATTATTCTGTGTTAGCATCGATATTTTAAGTGTAAGTGACTTACAAACTTTTTCAGTCCTTATCCTTAAGAAAAAAATCATCTGAGTTCCCTCATGGTCAGTAGGTACTTAGTCATTTGTAAAACTAAGATAAGTCTTTTTAAACTCAAAGCATTGTGGTCTAATGGGAGTAAAGGATTAAAGTTTAAATTCTGACTTGAAGTTTCTTACAGTGTGATTCTTCCAGAAACTATTCTTAGAACTGAGATGACCTAATGTTTTTATCAAATAGAATAATTGGTGAGGAAAAAAAATCTCGATTTTCTTATAATTGTGGCTAGTTCCGAATATAGAGAGATCAGAAATAAGCATCTTTTTGCCAGTATAGCTGACAACTACTCCCAGAGAGAACAGACCTCATGCTTACCTTTTAGTTGATAAATATGAGGGTACTTCTGAACTTTCATAGAATGATTCATATCTTTTAATTCTATTTTTCCACAACCTTTTTGAAGTACCCTCATACATGTTAACTCCTACTATGTGAACTCAGCACTGAAAAACCTTTGTATAGCAAGGAATTACTTGTACAGACATTGTATTAGGATCTTTCTGTAAAATGTAGTCCATTAATTAAACCATAATTTGAAATGGAATTTCTTTAACACTTTCCTTCATATAGCTGCATATTTTGTGTGACTTGATTAGATAACATGAGCATGGCTTAGGTAAAATAAGTAGGAAGTATATATGTTTGATCTGTATGGCCATCCTCATCTGCCAGCATTTCCATTCAGAGCTGCTATAATTTATTCCTAACGTTGCTAACAGAAGTCTGACGAATACCAATGACAATCTATTTTTAAAGAGAAGCAAGTCAGTTAGCATGAACCAAAGCTTCTCTAGTTAGAAGGAAAATAGTTTCATATTGATAAGTATGGCTTACCTTCTTAGTCCTAGAAATGACTCATCTACGTAGTCTCAATTTTAAGTGAATTATCTTCCACAGTGCTAATTTTCTACTTAAAGTAGGGTTAAAATTTACTTAGCACAAACCAGCCATGCAATAAAAATGAACAGTGGGGGGAGGCTGGCCCATTACCTCACTTGGTTAGTGTGTGGTTCTGATAACACCAAGGTCACTGGTTCAGATCCCCATACTGGCCAGCCAAAAAATAAAATAAAATAAAATAAAAATGTACAATAGGAACATGTTTTACATGTCCAATATCCCTTTCCACTTCTTTGGAGAAACTTTCCCCTTCTAAGATCAGTAGTAGCCTCCGGAGAATTTGAATCTTGAGTGAAATACAGGAATAGTAATGGTTAGAGCCAGGTCTTTAAAAGCAGATTGCTGAAAAGACTGTTGATTAATTCCTGCAACCTACAGCCCTATATCGCCGATTGACATACTTCTTATAAATTCCTTTTTTGCTTAAAGCTTGCCAGAGTTGGTTTATAGCTATTATTTGCAACCAAAGAACCTTAACTGATACAATCCCACATATAGAAAATAAAAAAATTTCTTTTGTTTGTTTTTGCATTATCTTAATAGTCATATCTATAAGAAAAATGTGGTTAAACAGAATTCATGTAAATAAATTAAGTTTATTGCTGAATTTCCCCATTAACATTATAGAAATTTTTTTTTAAAAAACACTGAAGTTTCACAAATTATTGAGAGCCCAACAGTTTAAACATACTTCATAAAAAAAAGTACAAAAGTGACATTAGAAATTTTTTTGAAGAAAAGTATATCATCTAACAGCAAAGAAATATGAATAAGACAATAAATGGCACAAATACAGCACTAAAGGAGTACTCAGTCACCATCCAGAAACCACTGAATTATGAAATAGATTCAGTTTGAGAAGTTACACATTCAGTTTGTTTCTGAACTAGCCCATCTTGTTTCTGCCTCTCTTTTGTAAGAAAAGAGCTAGGTCTCTACTGCTGCTGAGACAAAATGCTCATATGAATTGGAGAATAAGGCAGGGTCGTCCTTGTCCCCAGGAATCTGACCAAGAGGACAGTTAGTACAGAAATGGCTTTGGCACTTTAACCCTTAAACATTGTCCCAAACCTTATTACTTGAATACTGTAGCCCGATGTGATTTTTTTTTTTTTAAACACCATATCTTCTCCATACTTTTTATGTACAATAGATATATATAAAATAATAAAATTCCTTCATTCTAAAACAATACAGCTTGATCCCAAACAGGTCCACATTAAATCTCTATATTAGCAACTCACTCAGATAGCCTTCTTAATTCATATACCATACAGTTATTTTGTTGTTTTTGTTTGTTTAAGATACCTTTTGGGATTAACTTAAGGCTCTAGATTAATGCAAATAGTTTAGTCTTAGTAGGTATCTGTCTTGAGGCTGAAATCACACACCAGTGACTCCTCTCTCTTTTGAAGCTATTTCTCCTTGTTGGATGGATGTAGTGTCTTGTCTAGGTAATCCATAGAGATATATGGAAACACATACGAGAAGGGTACCCAAAGCAAAGGTGAGTGCTGAAAAGAAAAAAAAGCTCGATCTGTATTTGTGTCTCTAAAACTCTATAACAGTGATGAATTTAAAATTTTGAAAACTTTTAGTTGTGGGTTTTTCACCATCATATCATATGGGAAATAAAACTAAATGTTCTATTTTTATCGTGGTAAGGTTTAGAAAGGTCATCCATTTTAGGAAAAAAAAAAAAAAAATCAAGGGCGTGTCAATCATTGACTATATACTTTTCAAGAACACAAGTATGCCTGTCTTGGACCACTCTGACAAGGAATATACTAACTTCCCTATAAAATGCCTAACTTTAAAAGAAATATACAAGTATAAAATATAAATATATATAAACACAAAAGAAAATGCAGCAGGGTATAGCTTTTTCATGATACCAGAAACCTGTGAAAGTATAAAGTAAAAGACAGGCAAAATTCAAAGAATTAGGTGATCTATTATTCAAACAATTGAAGATTTCTTAATAGGAGATGAGGTGGTGATTTACTAAATCAAATTACATTTCTTGGTAGCCTTGCCTTTCTTTTATCTTAATCCTAAAAATCAGGTACAAGTAATTGAATTACAATTTGTGCAAACTTAACAAGTAGGTATCATATCAAGCTATGACATTAGTTCACCCCTAACTAGAAAAGACCAACTGGTGGGGGGGGAGGTAGGACATAACTTAAATCTAAATAGTTAACTGAAAGATTGCTAAGACATTCTAATTAATTTCCTTGACCATCAATAAGACAGAACATAGGTCAAAAGCATATTGTATAATACTGGGAGAAAAGGCTTAAGGATTTTGCTGAACATAAGGATGGATCAGAACTACAATTAAAAGTTCACCCAAATCAGGTTAAAAAAAAAAAAATCTAAGAGAGGGCCTATAAACACCTGATGCAAAAATGGTAAGTGGTGAGCCTTAAACAAATTATTTACTATGTGCTAGACACTACTCTAAGCACATCACCTGAAATCAGCCCTCGGAGATAGGTAATATTATTCCCATTTTACAGATAAAGAAATGGAGACACAGGTTACATAACTTTCCCAACATTGCACAACTAATAAATGGTACAGGCAAGATTTGAACCACACTATAAAATGATTTTTTAGGATTTCTGCAACATTCCTCTATTTCTATTTATAACAGAAGTCAATTTTAAAATGAAATGTAAATATAAGCCAAGTCTGTTTCTTTTATTTAATGTAGATATCTGACATTTTCCTCGTGCATTAGTTTCTGGTACAATAACTCATCAGTAAAGGAAATGATTATTACAGTATAAAAGCACCCTGAAATCTTAAGTCAATATCACTGCTTAAATATTTCAGAAGACATCTTAATGCTGGATGTGAGAGCTAGGGAAAATGATATTAGAAGAACTAGCATAGCAGTGGTTCCAGAATGCCAGCTATAGTAATGAATTTTGTATTAATTACATATTTAATGAAACAACAATATCTTTATAAAAGGGATTAGAAAATCTAGATTTGAATTGTATTTTCAAAACCAATTCACACCCAAGTCTGAAACAGTTAGGAAGGTACAAACCCGGGGGGGGGGAATGAAAGACATTTTCTGCTTTCCTCAAAATAAGCCTAGATAATTTAATTCCACTGCTGAAAGTAATCATTTCTTAAAGTCCTGTGTTTATTTCCTTGAATACCTAATCATACTATATTCACCCTGAATCATTAACAAACAGGGAGGCCTTGACTTCAAAAAAGCTCTTTTTAGCAAATGAGTAGCCCCCTCACTTTCATATAGAATTCTAGTACCCCTCCACCTAAGCTCTGGGACCATTTAAACAACACAAGTACTGCTTAGCCACATTCTACACAATTATGAACTGCTGCACCTGTAAATAAATAGTAATAAAACTAGGAATTTTTTTAAACACTATGGCCAACTGCCATTTTTAATGAGATAAAATGAATCATGGAAGTGAGAGGCTCTTCCATGTCAATGACTTAATACAAACTGAGACATACTTATCTGTAATCCAAACAGCATCACTGACGCAATGGTAGAAAGGACAATGGCTGCTGCTGCAGAAAAACCTTTCATGATGTTGTCAGTGTACTTGACCACAACAGAAGTGTAAAGGCCTCCAACACTTGCAAGAACTTGTATACAGAAAGAAATAAAATTTTAACATACAAATAAATGAAACATGCCATAGTGGTGAGGCAATTTTCATCCCCAGAGATGCCATACTAATTTACCTAGGAAAAAGAAAATACTGTTTTCCTTAGAAGCAGTTATCTGAGAGAGTATGTACAAAATCGAGTCACAGTTCCTACAAAACACTGTTTTTCAGATGCCCAAAAGGCTATGTGGTTTACTACAAAATTGTACACATTTATTGCTAACACATTAGACCCTTTTGATTGTGAAACTAAAATTGCTTTGGGATAGCAATGTCACAGAAGTAAGTCAATAAAACCAAAATTACATTTTCAAACTAGTATTCTCAGTATCAAAGGAATAATTTCAAAATGTTATAAAGGCTTAAAATGGACATCTAACTTAAGAAAGAGAAAAATGGATCCTGGATACTTACAGATGACAAACCAGACATAATATGTGTAACCATAGAAGAATCCTTTTTCTTTAATTTCAACTCCATCTGACAAGTAGACGCCAACTAATGTCACAACAATCCCAGATAGATACATTTGAATGTTTCTCACCCAGAGGGAGGTATCTGAACTCTTCAAAACTTTTTCGAAATATACTCCTGAAAGAAAGAAAATTAGACATGCAAATGTTAAATAAAAGTATTATTATAAATTAATTAAAGGTATTATTATTATTAATTAATTAAAAAGTCTTTCATTTAGAACAGTACCCTGGAGATATATAAAATATATGATTTGGGGAACAGATATAGTTTATTTAGTTAAATGTACGTTTGTTATGTAGGTTGTAACAAATGGCATACTAAACGTTACCAATTTATATTTTTATAGATCATATTGATTAATAATAACTAAGAGGAAGTTTGTAAGTTAAGTTTAATAGGAGACTGTTAAATTATTGTTAAGAACAGTTTCTGCCTTTATTATAACAGTAAGATAGATCACAAAAGCTCTCTGTATTACTTAATGCCAATAAAAGACATGCTTTGGTCA